TAAAACTGCACGTTTCAGAGTGGCCTTTTATTGTGGCCAGCCTAAGGCACACCTGTGCAATAATCATACTGTCTAATCAGCATCTTGATATGCCACACCTGTGAGGTGGGATGGATTATCTCGGCAAAGGAGAAGTGCTCACTATCACAGATTTTTTCAGATTTGTGAACAATATTTGAGAGAAATGGTTATTTTGTGTCTATAGAAAATGTTTTAGATCTTTAAGTTCATCTCATGAAAAATGGGAGCAAAAACAAAAGGGGTGTAGAGTTATTTTTTTGTAAAACATCCTTCACTTCCTGAACTGGCTGCAGCATCAGGAGGCAGCCTCTGAGAAGTGCAGCACCAGCGCGTACACACCGCCTTCACTGTGTTCCCCACTGCAGGCTGCTACGTTTCAACCACACACACACACCCCGATTACTCGTATGAAGGAAATGTCCGGTCACAAAGGCGCATGATGTGTGTGTGTGTGTGTGTGTGTATGTGCTCTGCTCAGCTCCGCTGTGTGTGTGTGTGTGTGTGTGTGTGTGTATGTTCGGTGTGTTTGTGTGTGTCCAACAATGGCATTTGTTTTCAAATTACCATGAACAGTAATTTACACACATCTGGCCAACTCCATAGGTATGTGGGTGTTCCCAAAATAAGTTAGTTTAATCTTAATGTAGTGCTAAATGCTGTCGGAGTGCACCGGAACGAACGCCCCGGTATGACGTTATTATTGCTGGCAAACAAGCCCAGGGGTCTCACTGACATTTCAGTTGTATCAATATGTGTACAGTGGTCCTAATTTGTTTTAATTGTATCCTGGTTTTAAACTTTGTTAATATGTTTTGGATGAATATTGTTCTATTATTTGTTCAGGCTGTTACATATAATTAGCCACTGTTGCCACCTATATTAGGCTATATTATATTATATTAATATTTGTAAAGCGGTCCTAATTTTTTGTTTTAATTGTATCCTGGTTTTAAACGTTAATATGTTTTGGATGCATATTGGTATTTCTTCAGGCTGTTAAATACAATTAGCCTCTGTTGCCACCTGCTGGTGAGTAAATATTCAAATCAGTTAAAATTGACAACCGATCCGCACATTTTTTTTAAATGTATCTGCCGGTCTTTGGCACAATAAAGGTTGGGAACCCCCGAGCTAAAAGGACTCCGAGTGTTTAGATAGTTAACTTTAGTCTAAGTTATCTCAGTGGGTCTCAAATGGTTTGGTCACAAATTATTCAAAAGACTATCTCTGAGGCACACCTTCATATGATCATTATAGTTATAAAAAAAATAAGAGAATAAAGGAAAAACAGTTATGAAATCTACTATATGGCAGTAAAACAAGAACAGAGTTTAAAAGGAGAGTGATTTGTAAAATATCCATAAAGAAAAAGGAAATCGGTTTCATATGGGTGTTCCCGTCTGGAACACCACCACTAGTGTGCCCTTGAGGAAGGCCTTAGTTACTCCAGGGAGAATGTCCCTGTAATTGGTAATTGTAAGTCGCTTTGGATAAAAGGGTCAGCTAAAATTAAATGTAATGTGTTGAGAGATGTATCCATAGATCTCTTAATGTTGCTCTCAAAGTGCACCAGATTGATGCTTTTAACTTCAATATTTAAAATAAATATATTCCCGGGGGAACATCCCCCTGTACCCCACTAGAGGAGGTGAAGTCCGCCCCCCACTCATAAAAAATAGCACTTTACCCCTGCCTATATGCCGTGAGCTGATTATCTAGCCTTCATTGTAACAGTCGCGGGTGTACTGTGTGCGTGTGGGGAGTGTTTTTGCAGTAGACCAGGGATCGGCAACCCCTGGCATGCGGCACCGTAACCAGTGGCACACTAGGAATAAGTGTGCAAAAATATTTAAATTGTATTTTCGGATCCTGAACAAGACCGCCGCCAGAGCGCGTCTCCCCGTTACCTGCAGAAGGAAGCCATGCACGCAACGCAGCCCCGCTCTCTTTAACTCCAGGCGACTTTCTGCCGCTTTCCTCCGTGGTGCTGATCGTTTCACCACGGAGGAAAGCACTTCACAAATTGCAGTAGGCCTACCCATAAGGAGCTGTACAAATGCCGCAGTTGTTGCGTGGCTGTGTCTTTAGTGGAAAGCCCAGGGGCGATCTGCTCATCTCTCATCGAAATAATATGCTACAAAGGGGCGGACTGGCCATCTGTGTGTTGAACTTTCCTGTCGGCTCCCAGACCGTAGTCGAGGAGGGCAGAAGCAACAAGCTTCAGGTTCAATAACCCACTTTAGCTTCAATGACTGGAGAGAGGCGAGCTCTTCTTGGGAGGCCGTTGCATTTATTTAGCTGTTCTTCTGTTTCACAAAATACATCACAGACCTCTGTTTTTTCTGCTTCTTCGTTTCACTTCCAGAAACATGCACACGTTCTCTCACTGTCGCTCTACCATCCACACACACACAAACCACACCCCTCTCTCTCTCTTAAAAGGGACAGCGATCTCATCTCACTCTGCATGACCCTAATATCATAACATGTGTGCTCTGGAGAATCACAGAACGGACGATCGTCCTTATTATTATGCCGTTTAAACCAATTATTTAAATGTGTTTGTTAAATTCGGCATCATGTAAGCAGTGGCGGCGGGTCATTAGGGGCAGGTGGGGCACAGCCCCACCTAGTGTCAGAAGAAAGTATTACAAATAATGATTACAAAAAAATACTAAAAAATAAATAAAAAAACATATAAAATATATTTTAAGGTCATGTTTAATAATCTGATTCGTCTGTACATTTCTGTTTTAGTCTGTGTTCTTCTAATTAGTGTCTAGAGTGCCGTTTTGAGCTGTTTAGAGCCATGTGGGACAAAACCCGATCCTGCCCCTCCCTCTCACTGTCTAAGTGAACGGTGATTGTAAAAACTACACTGCGCATGCTCAGAGTATTTTTCTATTTAATGTGTGTGGCAAAAAAATAATGACCGTAGGGGCATAGTGCTCCCATCCCCACCATACGTCATCTCACATAATTCAGAATTGATTGGCTGTAAGTACTCACGTGTGCAGTGCTGCGAAACGTCACGTGTAGTTTGAAGAGGAGACGAGAGAGCAGCATATAGCTAACATCACCAGCGATTAAAAGAAGTAAAAAACTGAAAGAAAATGAATGAAGTTGACCATTTACTGGAGCACACATTTGAGACACTTAGTCTCGGAGAGAAACTGGAGGTAAAGCGCCTCGGTGCCCACCATCCACCGGATTTCCAAATGGTCCAGACTGCGGGCAAAGTTAAACGTGGGTTTAACGCTGAGTGGTTTGCTAAAAAGAAATGGCTAACGGCGAGCATCCAGAAGAATTCCCTCTTTTGCTTTCCTTACCTGCTTTTTGGTGAAGATCAAGGTACTTGGTCGAGGACAGGTTACAAGGACTTAAAGCATCTTTCGGAGAGGACAATGAAGCATGAGAGCAGCAACAGTCATTTGGAAAATGCCGTAAAATTGGGATTACTTGGAAGGGTGAATGTTGCAGCTCAGATTGACAGCGCCTACAGACGCGGCATTGATTCTCATAATAGGAAGGTAAAGAAAACAGGTACGTGCTTGGTCGGATCATCACCTGTATTAAACTGTGTGGGAAATGTGAGACAGCACTGCGGGGCCACAACGAGTCGGCGGACTCTCTGAATCCAGGGATATTCAGGTCAATTTTCGAGACAATGTGTGAGGGCGATTCCAGGCTTCAACGGCACTACGAAGCTCAGCTTGTTTTCAAAGGGACATCAAGCACCATACAGAATGAACTCTTGGACTGCATGTATGATGTGTACAGGGAGGAAATAGCCAAGCAAGTGGACAACACATCATTTGTTGCCGTTCAGGCCGACGAGACAACCGATGTCTCCTGTAAATCGCAAATGGTGATTGTGCTGCGATACATTATGCCTTGGTAAGTTCATTTATGTCATATATTTTGTTGATCTTCTGTGTTTTGCCTCTGCTGGATCGATTGATATTGTGACCTCGATGATGAGTGTCTGTGTTTTCCTTATATTTACAGTCTATGGTGTTTTAATGCTAAAGCATTACGGTTGTTGTTATTGTTAAGAATTACTTTGTGATGGTGACCTTTACTCCATGTATGAAGGTGCATTACTATGACATCCCCACGCTGTGTACGTAAATGTATGCGCTCACAGTGTTGCTCCTGTGGTCTTCAGTATGTAATTTGACACTCCCCCTCTCTCTCTCCTCCCCCCCTCTCTCTGTCCCCCCTCTCTCTCTCCTCCCTCTCTCTCTGTCCCCCCCCCCCCCCTCTCTCTCTCTCTCCCCCGACCTCTTTCTGCCCCCCCAGTTTTGTACACCTAGAAACGCCACTGCATGTAAGTTGCGCTGACAGGTCCACACACTGCTTCCCCGCAGCAAGGCTCCCCCCGCCCTCCTGCTGATAGTTCACAAGCGCAAAGCTCCTCAACCCCCCCCCGTTGATAATTGTCGATCGTTGGCACGCTGATAACAAGTTTTTTTTTAATGGCACTTCATATCAAAAAGGTTGCCGACCCCTGCAGTAGACAATTCCACTGTTGCGCCACTGTGGGCTAAGCCCCGAATGTTTTCAGGTCCAGGCGACGCCCCTGGTGTCAACTCATGGCTCGTAACACGTCTTGTGAATTCTCCGGCCGAAGCTCCAAATAAACCGTCAGTGTTTGCCATCAAAGCTCCTGCTCTCCCCGTGTGTCTCTGGAGTCCTGTTTCCAATTACTTCAGAAGTTCTCTAAACTGGGTAACAGGGGCGCTGCACCCTCTTACTCTCAGCATGCACCCTCATACCAAAATGCAGATTTTCCCCATAACATTTTAAAGTGATGCCAGAAAAATAATATTTATGTTCATCAAGAAACGGTATAATTACTCCAGAAATATGAACATGGTGTCAAATAGAGCGTCAGGCGGCAGAGACAGCTATTAAGAGTCTAACGAGTTAATACAGAGTCTAAAGAGTGAGAGAGAGTGAATAAAGAGGGAACAGACCTGCTCTGTGGATCTGAAGCTTAGCCTGTAAAACAGCGTCCAGTAGTTTCCGGTGTCTCTCGTTCTCCTGTTTTGAACGAGACAGTTCCTCCTCGTACTCTGCTATCGTTCTTTCAAACAGAACAAAGATGTCTTCAGCAGCTGCAGTGAGTCGCTGCTTCACCAACGAGAGCAGCACAACACTCATGTTTACTAAATCACCACTTCCCGTTTCTCTCACTCTGTGTTGCTAGCGTGTTACCAGCTAGCATGCTAAGCTAGCATGCTAAGCTAGCTTCTAGAGTCCGAGGTAAAGGCTTCAGAAGAAAGAGCACAAAGTCAGAGGTTCATCCAGACACACAGACGATGGATGGATCAGCTGCTCACATACACTTCCTCAGGAACACCGAGAGAGAACCATGGATGTAGAGAGAGAACCCACGAGACGCGATCTGGTTCCAAGTTAGAAAGTGCGGGACCATCACTTCCGGTGCAGAGGACTTCAAAATAAAAGCGAATATAATTTCCCCTTAGACAATACCTAAACCTTTAAAATACACAGACATGGAGCTGCGCAGAGAACCCGGTTTATTCCTCCTGAAACACCTTTATTTATATTATATGTATTTCCCCTCTTGCTGTAATATAATATTTGTAAGAAGAGAAATGCAAAGAGAGACAACGGTGGGTTTTGTTGTGAAGGCCAGCACCGGAAGTTCTGTTTCAGGATCTCCATTTGCAAGTTAGCGTGCTAGCCAAGCCCCCAGGAAGTGCGCCGGACTCAGATGAAAATATTCGTGCTGGCCAAACGGCGGTACTACACTTTCCATTGACTTACATGGGGAAAGAGTGGTCTGTAACTCGTTGGATAATTTTTTTTAAACTAAATAAACTACCCAGTATGAACACTTGTATAGCCCTTATTAAAAACATTCGTTCCTCAAGTTGTAAAAATGTGCTAATAACGTTATTCTGAGAGTTATTTCCCTCTGCATTATGAACGCGCATCTAACCCACGGGACCGCGCCGCCCGGCACGTTCATGTTACGTGTCCCGACCAATCAGAGCACACTGTGCTCACAGGGAGGGTGGGGCTGGAGCTACAACGAGCTGTTAAAGGCAGAGAGTGAAATTCAGTGAATACACGTAGTTTACAGAGATGCTGTATGAGAAACCAATGTGAGTTGCGTTTATCTTTACCCATGGATGCACAATGGGAACGCATCCATATCGTCTTACTGCCATCCCAGGGAGCTGTAATAATGGATATATTGCACATGTTTGCTGTAATTCATTATCATACTACATGGGCTGTATGATTAAATCTTGTACCGTAAATGTTGTATTAAATAAAGTTAATATTACCGACATTATTAACGTCCCTGTAGCTTCGTATTGCACTAAGAAGCTTATTGCACTGTATATAAATATATATATATATATAATATATATATATATATATATATATATATATATATATATACAGTGCAATAATAATTTCATGCTAAATGAAGCTCTGTTGGATATCACTAGATCCTGTTACAGCGTAATATAAGTACATAACGATTGATGTGTACATTAGCATCATTACTAGCTAGCCGCTAGCTGCTAACTGCCGCCTCGTTCATATCAAATCCATGATAACAACAAACCATTACCATTACCAAGCTGTCATGAACGCGCGGTGCTGTTACGTGTACGCAAATTGACGTGCTTGATGTGAACGAGCATTTTGGTTAAAGTTGCGCATGCTCTATGAGTGCACATACGGGTACTTCTCAGGCATGCTGGGTAATCTGTGACGTTTCACTCTCTCAAAAGTTGGGCCATTTTATCATCATGCGCTAATGAGCAGCTCTCATAGGAATGAATGAGGCCCCGCCTCCCACGCTGTATCCAGTTCTTATTATACATCCATGGTGCTAGCTGGGGGTAAACAAGAAACCCTGGTATCCGGTCGAATTGTCAAAAAATCAGCTCCTATCGTCTTTTCCAAACCACTATTCCTTGACCTCTATGTGAAACGTCACAGGGTTAAGGAATAGTGGATAGCATAATTCAAAAGGACTTAGGAAAAGAGACTGTGGTGCTTTGAGAATCCGGCTGCACTGACCAAGGTTGTGATTGGCCCCGGTGCAAATATTGTTTGCCCCAAATATAAGCACACGCTGATGCGCTCACACGCACGGACATACACTCTCTCTTGTCCTTTCTCTTCTGAGCGCCGCTCTAGTGCTTTTGTTTGCTCTACATTATAAATGCAAGCTATTACATTTTTTATAATGCTGCCGAACTTGCTGCTGCTAGCTACAGTACAGTACAGGTTGATTAAACGGTTCGCTCGTCAAGGTATCACATGAAATGAAAGGGAGCAAAGTCATTGGACAGACACATTACAAATTAATTTAGGTTTATTGGTTACTTTGAAGACTGCGTGAACCGGTCAATGCCAAATAAATTATATATACATAAAAAAAACTGCTGTTTTATGCTTTATGAACGTGGACAACAGAGAAACATAAACTCTTTATTAGGTTGGAATTTAAACTAAAAAGAAAAGTGAAACTTATACTCGTCACCCTCACGTATCCACATGAATCCCAATACGTATGATTGTATGGAAATATTTTAAAATAAACACAAACGTAACTATTATAAACGTTTTAGGCCTTAACATCTATCACTGTGTATATCACCATTCAAACGTGTTTAAATAGTGCGGCAGCTTAGCAAAATTATGGGGACACGCCGGATAAAAGCACCACGTTTTTTTCCATGTGTTCTACATCACCATAGTTTTAAATTTGCCATCTTGATGAAGTGGCTCTTCATCAAGCCATCCGGCCATCTTGGATTTCCAAGATGAGCCGCCATGCTATAAGTGCCATTATCTCGGCTTCCAAGCCACTTAGAGGGTCAATCTTGGTGTCAAAATATACATTTTCTGTGTCAGGGAATGCATTAAAGCTATTGAGAATATCATAATGTGACTATTGTTTGCCAATATTTAATTATTTGGTCCATTCGGGCAATATATCAATTCAATTTGACTCACTGTAGACCCCTTCATTAGGACCCAATTTCAATGAATACATTACTGAGATTGAACAAATGTATTTTCTAAATTCCGACTCCCTTTTCATCTCTACCCACTGCCACTGACAAAACTCACATAGCCGAGTAGTGGGAGGGTACTATTAATCTTGCCAATTTCCACTCTCTCACAAAGCTGTCGCACTGGAGAAAGTGGCAGGTGACTGGCAGGTGTTGATGCTGCAGATGCCTTGCTGTAAGTAATTTAGTTCAAAGTACATCAACAAAGACAAAGTCTACCCATTTAAGGTTTAGAAACAGGGTTGTAAAAGTAAAAAAAAACAATAACTGAAAGTAAATAACATAAAATAAATAAAAGAACAATCAATAGCAGAATAGCTCAAATTAGCTGCTTGCATTTCTAGGTGCTTCCTAGCTAGCTAGCTGGCTTGCTAGTTACAGTATATTTATCAGGTGTTTATTTTTGTGTTAATAATGATATGGTGATGATGATGAGTCCATGAAATTGGTAACTGTATCTCTAAGTTGTCATGGGATATCCGTGCCTGTCCAGCACAGTATATTTATAGACTAATCTTTTTTTTATGTTGCAGTGGCAGCAGTCTTTGACTGAAGTCTTGTGCACATAATGGATTGGGCATTGTGTATTGTATGCCAACACCCTACCACTGAAACTATCCGATGCCCTTTAAATGCAAGCAGACCTGAAGACCTATCTAATCCATACAAATTCTTCCTGGACAATGTGAAAGCTTTCAGAGAGATGAGTTAACTGACAACTTCACCACTGTGCCGGCAGTTGCACTCAAGAAGGCCAATGTGGCTGTTCCCCAGACACCCAATCAAATTAATGCTTTTGAGGGACACCTGGTTAGAGCACTTATGAAAGGAGAGATATTGGATTGAGCATTCACTCAATCTGATCGAAAAGGAGAAGCTAGACAAGGGGGACAATGTGGCCCGGTCAGCCTACCATGCATCTCTACAAGATATATCAGATGATGTACTGCCCACTTTTACACAACTCCTGCCACTGTTCTATGAGAATGCTGCTACAGCTTCCATGATCAAGCATGGGATGGATGTACAGCGCAAAGCCACACAGTTTCTGAATCCTGAACAGATCCCAGTAATGGCTGTGGATGCACCACTGTATGCACTGGCCAAATATGTCCAGTGGAACTGGCCTCAAACACATGGTGAGGACAAGTATGTAGTCATGTTTGGTGGTCTCCATATTGAAATGGCAATGTGGAAAACATATGGGGACTACTTGGAGGCCTCTGGATGGACCACTGCACTGACTGAGGCCGGTATCGCGTCCTCTGGCACAGCCGACTCTTTCCTCAAAGCGTCCCACCTCACTAGGACAAGACATGCCCACCAAGTGAGTGCTCTGGCATTGGTGAAGCTGCAGCAGGATGCCTTCTTGGACATGGTGACTGATAATGAGAAGACCAAAGAAGCTTGGAGACAAGATATGATCACCAAGGATCCAACATTCCACTACTCCTGGGATACCATCCTCAACATGGAATTTCCGGGTCTGATATTTGTGCGGGCCCACAGAAAACAAGAATTCCCCCTCTATGTGGAGTCACTGAAGGCCCTCGTCCCATGGTTCTTCGCCCTTGATCACGAGAACTATGCCCGATGGATTCCTGTCCACATCCGGGACATGGAAAGCTTGCCCACGTCCATTCAAAAGGAATTTGAAGAACATGGTCATTGGGTTGCTCCCAAAACCACAAACAGATTATCAAGCATACCAATAGACCAGGCTCATGAGCAGAATAACGATCTCGTGAAGGGTTTTGGGGTGCTGTGGCACTCACCAAGAACCCCTCAGCCTTCAAAAAGTGGATGATCGCAGGGCCTGAACAAGCACGATTCCTAAAAGAGTTTGAGCAGGAGTTTATTTTCGAGAAAGGCAATAAACAACACCACCATGAAGAAGGAATGTCTACACAGAAGACATTCAAAGAGCAAGCACTAGCTCTGGTGCACACCATCAGTGAGATGAGCAATCCGTTCCTAGATGATACCCCCGATCTTATTATGCTGGACATACGGAATATCATTGAAGAGTCTGCTGTCAACACAGTCTGCACAGTGGAATCAGTGGGCAAAGATCAGTGCAACAAGTACCATGTGACAGTGATCAGGGACCACAGACACTCCATTCATGAGCCCATCAAAAATAACTCACTGCCTCTCTTAGATGCCCAACACCCAGGACCAAGACCAAACAGGCAGGGCAGATCTCAATGTTGAGGAATTATGTGGCACTCTTTTCCCAATTATATATAGCCATGCAACACAGAGAGGGGGATATGAGCACCTTCTTTAACATGAAAACCATCCATACCCTCCCTCTCTATCTGACAGAGGGAAACTACGGCTGGGA